GACGCAGGGTGACTTTTGGAGATATTTCACAGGGGAAAATGCGTCTTATAGACAGAAAAATACGGTAAAGAGCTTCCAATTAAAATGGGACGGTATTAATGGATTTTAAAAGAAAAAAAATGAAATTGGATCAGACAAACAGAGATATAGATATGAACCGAACAGAAAAAGATAGATAGATAGATAGATTATAAACAGGCTGAAGATAGATAGATAGATAGATAATGTACAGACTGATGATAGATAGATAGATAGATAGATAGATAGATAGATAGATAGATAATGTACAGACTGATGATAGATATGAACAGACTGAGGATAGATAGATAGATAGATAGATAGATAGATAGATAGATTATAAACAGGCTGAAGATAGATAGATAGATAGATAGATAGATAGATAGATAGATAGATTATGAATAGACTGAGGATAGATAGATAGATAGATAGATAGATAGATAGATAGATTATGAATAGACTGAGGATAGATAGATAGATAGATAGATAGATAGATAGATAGATAGATAGATAGATTATGAATAGACTGAGGATAGACAGATAGATAGATAGGTAGATAGATAGATAGATAGATAGATAGATTATAAACAGGCTGAAGATAGATAGATAGATAAATAGATAGATAATGTACAGACTGAGGATAGATAGATAGATAGATAGATAGAGAGAGAGAGAGAGAGAGAGAGAGAGAGAGAGAGAGAGAGAAACCACAAACCATTGAAAGTGACTCAAAATTGCCAAAAAAGATCTATCAACATCTTAGCTATACCCGTAGTATCAGACAGTTTCAACATTATTAAATGGAATTTGAATGACATTAAAAGATTAGACGCCAAGACTAGAAAAATGCTTATCCAAATGAGGATGTGCCACCCGAAATCAGATGTTGATAGGTTGTATGCACCAAGATCATTAGAAGGTCGAGGTCTAATTCAACTTGAATTAACTCTAAAAACGGCAACAATCTGATTGGAAGCCTACCTTACAAAAACCAATGGCCCTCTCCTACAAATAGTGAAACACCAAATCCACTTCATCAACAAAGAAGCTGCACTCTTCAAGAAACAGCTTAATGCTCCTAAAATCCTACCAACAAAAACGAAGCCAATTCCCCAAAAGAGTAAAACAGAAAGCAAAGCAACTTGGCCAAATGAAGTGACATAAAATCTGGGAGGAGAAGGCGTTGCATGGCAAATACCTAAAAAGAACGAAAGAGGCAGATGTAGACCAACAGAAAACACATCAGTGGCTGAGGAACACCGTCTTGAAAGCTGAGACAGAAGGCCTAATTATTGCAGCACAGGACCAAAGCCTCGCAACCAGATCCTATCATTGTCACACAATCAAAGCTGAAACTAACCCGAAATGCAGAATCGACCATATTATCTCAAGATGTCAGAAACTAGCAAAAAATGGATATACCCACAGACATAACAAGGTAGTTACATATGTGGATAAGAAGATATGTAAGAAGCACAAAATCGAAACCACTGAGAGATAGTATGAGCACCAACCAGACACAGTTACCCAAAATAACGATGTAACTATCCTCTGGGACATTCCAAGTCAAACTAACAGGGAAATAAAAGCCAACAGACCTGATATTATTATAAAAGACAAGAAATTCAAGAAGTGTATGCTTATTGACATAGTAGTACCATCTGAGAGAAACACCTCCATGAAAATTATTGAGAAATTGTCCAAACACAAGGACCTGGAGGTCGAGATTAACAGGATGTGGGGAATGAAGACTGAGACTGCCGTACCAATAGTTATCAGATCTCTGGGCCTCGAAAGAAAAGGAATACACGATTTTACTAACAGTATCCCAGATAACATCAACATGCAAGTTACAAGAAGATCGCTCTAAGAACATCCCATATACTAATAAAAGTGCTATCAATTAAATGACACTCCTCCTGTATCTGTCTGTATTTCTGAGATGAGGTATTTTGTACACTATTTACATTGCTCGGACTATCATCCTCATCTTTGTTGCCATATTTATCACAACGTTTCAGCCGTTGTACGCTCCGGCCTTCTTCAGGTGGTTGGAATGTCGAACTGAACCCTTTATTTTGCTCGCTGGGGTAGACTGTTCTAGTTCCACGTGACATGTTTAATGGATGTCAGTTAGCAGTTATCTCCTGTTAATTTCCCTCTCCAAGTTCTCCACCGCCTTAACCAGAGAAGAACGAATTAAAGGGTTCAGTTCGACATTACAAACCACCTGAAGAAGGCCGGAGCGTACAACGGCCGAAACGTTGTGATAAATACAGCAACGAAGATGAGGATGATAGTCCGAGCAATGTAAACAGTGGACAATACTCCTTTAGGCCCTAAGGACCATAGTTTGAATCCGTCTCTACAGGATACAAAGCAGGAAACATGACAAACACAAATAATAATAATAATAATAATAATAATAATAATGTCTTGATAAGTACAAGACTGAATGAAAGAAGAACTTTGTCCATATAAAGCTCGTCCTGGGTATGACAATAAACTACATCCGTGTCCTGGGTAACACGACTAACTATGTCCAACAGCAAGGCCTCTGATCAGGAGGTTTTGAGGAGCGTGGAACCACCTCTTAATTGCTGGTGCTTCCAGGTCCACCCTGACCTGGGGTGGTAGCATCTGTTAGGGTCACAGCTATGGGCAAATAGTTAACCCCTAAACTGAGGTGAAAACATTATAAAAGTGTAAAAATAGATTTTAATGCCAAAAATACTTTGTAAAAACTTATTACCAGAAGTAAATTTAAAAAAAAAACTATTATCAACAATATGTTTTTGAAAAAAGACTATTACCAGCAATATGTTTTTGAAAAAAATAAACTATTATCAGCAATACATTTTTTAAAATAATATGATCAGCTCTACATTTTTTAGGAAAAAATATTACCAGAAATAGATTTTTGACAAAACAAAAATATTACCAGGAAAAAAAAAGTTGTCGGCATTAAATGACCCATTGAGGTTGATATGCCGTAAAACAAAACAAAACAAACTAAAACCATATAAAGCTACTGATTTTTATGGGAGTTAGAAAAACAAATCATGAGATGTAGTCATAACAACATACCAACTATCTGTCTTAGGTCTTCTCACAGATTTGGTAGATTGTGGGACCATAGAAGACATCGAAATATAATGATGATGATGATGATGATGATGATGATGATGATAATTAAAATTATTATTATTATTATTATTATTATTATTATTATTATTATTATTATTCCTCATAGTTCGTTCTTATGACTATTAACGTTGATTCGTGCGCCTCTTTTGTTTCTTTCTTCAGCTGAACGGCAGACTTTAGCACCAGCAGCGGATATTCCGGCCAAGCAACTGCCATGAAGCTAGCCAACTGGATAACGATGTCTAAGTGCTGACCACTTGATCATCATGTCTGTGAATGTGGAAGAGTAGCTAAAAATACAGATTGTAGAAGAGAAAGCCAGTTTCTTTGCCCCTTCCCGCACGAAAAGTAAGGTCAGGATGATTTTGGACGGGAAATCCTTACGTTCCGATTTGGTGTTAAGACAATGACCCATTTCGATTGGATAAAGTGCTTGACCCATCTTCTTTCTGTCTGCTCCCCTCACCTCCCACTCCCTGTTTCTTCATCCGTTCCAGATTCCGTTCTTTCGTAGTCTTCTATTTTGCCGCTGTCTCCCCCTCGCGCTTCGATACCCCCGGGTTTTCGGCAGGCTCGGCGCAAAAATTGTTCAACCGAAATGGGTATAAAATCATAGCCTTGAAAAACGGACGTAATGAATGGTGGTAGCCATGCAAAGAGGGTCTTCAAGAACACTTATGCATGGTGCGCTGTGATTGACAGCGGGCACCTGCGGGAAGGAAGAAAGAAAGAAAGAAAGAAAGAAAGAAAGAAAGAAAGAAAGAAAGAAAGAAAGAAAACGGAAATGCAAAATGTATAAAAAGAAATGAAAAGGGAATTTTTACAAATTAATAAATGAAAAAAAGAAAGGAAGGAAAATCGTGAAGAAAAAAGAAAATGAATATAAAATTAAATTATCTAAAAAAAAAATAAAAGGAAAATAAAAAAAAGGCAAGACAAGATTTATATAATAAAAAAAAAAACAAGAATGAAAAACCAGGAAGGAAAAATAAAAACAAAGAAAAATCTAAGAGAAAGAAACAAATTTGTAAGAAAAGAAAAAAAAAATCAAAGAAAAGTCTAGAAAATGATGAAAGAAAAGTGGAGTGATAAACAAATAAGAAAGAAAGAAAGGAGGAAAAAGAAAAAAAAGAAAGAATGAGAAAATTAGAGAAAACAAAGAAAACAAAGAGAAATATAGAAACTGAGAAAGAAAATAAAGAGAATAAGAAAAAAATGAAAAAAGAAAATTTCAGAAAAAAAAAGAAAAACATAGAGAAATGAAAGAAAAAGAAAAGAAAAATATAGAAAAGAAAGAAAGAAAAACAGAGAAGAAATAAAATAAAAATACGGGTAATAAAGATGTAAAAGCATAGAAGAAAGAAAAGAGAAACGTACCGAAAAAAGAAAGAAAGTTAAAGAAAGAAAGAAAGAAAGAAAGAAAGAAAGAAAGAAGGAAAAGTCATCGAAAGACACGTGATATAGAAATGAAAATATGAAAGGAAAGGAAAAGAAATTAAGAAATATAAAGAAAAAGGAAGAAAGAAAAGAGAAAGAAAGAAAAGAGAAAGAAAGAAAAGAGAGAGAAAGAATAAATAAAGAAATAAAGTTACAGAAAAGAAGGAAAGAAAAAATGAAAAAAAAAAAAATACAGATATCAATGAAAGATAATTACAGAAAGAAGAAAATATAAAAAGAAAGAATGAAGAAGAAGCAAAATTAGAGTAAGCGAAGAAAGTATGGAAGATAATAAAGAAAAGCATTGAAAGAAAGAAAGAAAAAAGAAAGAAGATAAAACAAGACTTGAAAGAAAAAAGAAAGAAGTGAAAAGAGAATGGAAAAAAGAAGAAAAGAATTCAAAGAAAGAAAGAAAGAAAGAATGAAAAAAACAAGACATGAAAGAAAAAAGAAAGAAATGAAGAGAATGGAAAAAAGAAGGAGAAGAATTGAAAGAAAGAATGAAAGAAAGAAAAACAAGACATGAAAGAAAAAAGAAAGAATGAATGAAAAGTACTGTAAACAAAGAAAGAAATGAAAATACAAAAAATGAAAGAAAGCAATAGAAAGGAAAGTGCAGTAAAGAAACAAAAAAGGCCGTAAAAATAAACTAACAATGAAGGATTGAGAAAGAAAAGTATAGAAAAACATAAAGAAAATAGCAAAAAAAAATGTAAAATTACAGAAACCAAAGAAAGAAAGAAAGAAAGAAAGAAAGAAAGAAAGAAAGAAATAAAGAAAGAAAGAAAGAGGAAAAAAGAAGGAAAATATAAAAAAGAAAGAAGAAAAACAACAAAGAAGAATGAAAGAAGTGAAAAGAGAATGGAAAAAAGCAGGAAAAATATTGAAAGAAAGCAGACGATAAACTAAAAGAAAACGGGAACAGAAAATTGATAGAAATCAGAAAAGTCAATAAATGTTCATAAAAGAATTCAACATAAAATTCATCTTTTTTCCTCAAATCAGTGCCGCTCAACTTTTAAGTTTCCGATAGGTCCAAATTTCAATTTTAAAATGGCGATGCAAGCAACACGGAACATCTGAAGATGCAACAGCTAATCATAGAAAACATGTGAAAGCAATCAAAACAATCGACCATTTGATAAGTTGCAATTTGCTACCATCAGTTTTCCATTCGCCGTTCGTGCTTCTGGTTTGACGATTTGTGAATATTCTACAGTTTTATTGATATACAGATAGGTAAAGTTTACTTTCTTTGCTGATAAAGTTTACATTATATCCTAACAGATAAAGTTTACTAGATAGACAACCTGTCTAAAGAGAAGGGTACAGATGAGACACAGTTGGGCCTCTGGGTCAGTATATCTATGAATACCAGGCTCTACTCACTGACAATTTACTAGTCACTAATCATTGCTCTCAATAATTCCCTGTCTTTTGTTGATGCAAGTAAAACTTGTTCTTTTGCCAGCCGTTTTTGTCTTTTCAGTTCATAGTTTTACCACTCAAACTTTATTTGATTTTTTCCATCCAGTCATTAAAATTCGGAAAATAGATTATTCGCTCCTTCACCTTACTTCTCTTGCAGCCAGTATACCCTATGAGTGTTAAATTCTCCAAGCCTTCTTTGTCGTATATCATAGAAATTTCAGCGGTCTTTGTTTTTATATTAGAAGCTGCCGGATGGCATTAAAAAAATGAGACATATGGACATTTTATTATTGGTTTGGTTTGGTTTGTTTTACGGTATATCAACCTCAATGGGTTATTTAATGCCGACAAAATTTTCATTGTTGGTAATATTTTTTTTACAAAATTCTATTTCTGGTAATATATTTTCCTTCAAAAATCTATTTCTGGTAATAATTTTTTTCGATGGTAATTTAAAAAAAAAATGTATAGCTGATGATAATTTTTTTTTTACAAATTATTTCTGGTATTAAAACCTATTTTTACCCTTTTATAGTGTTTTGACCCTAGTTTGGGGGTTAACTATTTACCCATAGCTGGGACACTAACAGGTGCTACCACACAGCAATTAAGAGGTGGCTCCACGCTCCTCAAAACCTCCTGATCAGAGGCCTTGCTGTTGGATGTAGTTTATCGTCTTACCCATGACGTGGATGTAGTTTATCGCCATACCCAGGAAAAATGATAGCAGTTCCATTAATTTCTAATCATAAAAAGGGGCAAAGTGCTGAAAAGAGGAAGATCGCGCGTGTCTCCAGAATTTTTCCCGCGTTACATAGCGGATAAAGACACCCGAGTTTTAGATGCGTTGCATTAGAGTAATCATTCACAAACTAGTCTAGACCTTTTACTCCTCTAGTGAAAGTCAACTAGAAATGTCACTGGGTGTTTCATATTGGAGTAGTGGTTAGTGAACTTTTTTCCCATGTTATTATTAATGTAATGAGTGACTGAGATCAAAAAGAAGAAAAAAGTGTCAATGAATGAATGAATGAAGGAAGGAAGGAAGGAAGAGAGGAAGGAAGGAAAATAATATTTTTTATTTAGGGATATAGACACACGCGTCAGTACCTTCTGGAGCTTACTTACACAATCTCGTACGCACACTTACAAATACTCAGAAAACCAGATCCTTCGTTGTCCCTCACGATACATATATGTCCATACCAAATTTCCCGGATGAAAAGTTCCCACAGGAAAGAAAAGAAAAAAAAAATGAAAGAATTGCCTGTGTCAAAGAATTTCCATGAACAAATAAAGAAAAAAAAAGTGCTTTGAAAAGCTCCGCTGGGCACAGAGAGGGCAAAAATAACAATAGCAGACGTTTTCTTTCCTCCATTAGCGGCCATCTTGTCTTTCCAAAGATTTGAGACGCCGACCGGATATTGGTTGAACGCGTTCAAGCGTCACACGCGTATTTCTCGTCAGCAAGAAAGAAAGGCGTAACAATAATAGCAATAACAATAACGTCAATTATTGTTACTCCAAGAGCAATTTCTTTCGGGTTTCTGCTTCGATCATTGTTGCCAATACGATAACAATTATTACTGCGATTATCAATAGATTTGTAGTTATAATAATAGTAGATATTATCTTATCCTATACAGTGACTAGCAATGATGCCTGGTGTTGCCCCGGATCAGTACTTTTCCTCTGTCATATTGCGTTATCCGTAGAGTTGATTATGCCATAAAATGGTATTAACTAAATTGTCGTACAGTATCTGTCTATATTTCAGGGCAGGGATGACATCAGGTTTATAATAACCAGAAATTCATACAGAGATGTCCTCAAGGACACATGGCAATGGTGGATAAAGGCGTTAATTAGATCCAGTAACAGGACCCCAAAAGTGTGAGTTCAATACCTGGTTAAGGCAGTGGAAAACTTTCAGGAAAATTAACAGGAGATAACTGATAACTGGCATCCATTAAACATGGCATGTGGAACTAGAACAGTCTACCCCAGTGAGCGAAATAAACTACTTCCAACTACCTGAAGAAGGCCGGAGCGTAGAACGGCCGAAGCGTTGTAATAAATATGGCGACAAAGATGAGGACAATAGTCCGAATAATGTAAATTGTCGTAATTAAAACAATTCGATAGGTGTCAAAATAAGGCTATTCAGATTATATCTGGGGGGAGGAGGAAAGAAGAAATGGATTCATGCCTTCCCCAAAGGTATTTGCGCGTAAGTGAATGTGACTAAATCCAACTGGAATTAGAACTCGCCTATTTCTCATTCTGAACCTTTATTCAATACATTATTCGCACTTATGTGGATTTCTCAAAAAAAAAAAAAAAAAAAAAGAAAAAAAAGAAAGAAAAAAGTTTACCATGTCAACTTATTTATTTAGCTGGTTTAACACTACGAAAGTGTATTTTTTAATGGATATAATTGCTAGAGATATCATCTTCTCAACATCAAACTAGATTGATTGATTGATTTGGTTTGTTTAACAGTCTATTAATTACTTATGGATCACTTAATGTCGATATTTAATTTTCTTGGGAGCTTGGAAGTAGTAAAAATATGATAAGTTATTCTGCTTTCACAGTTGAAGACATGGTAGATATTACTCAGCTTTTCTGCATATACATGTTTATTAGTTGGTTGATATTGTTTAGCACATCAACACCTCTATGGGTTATTTAATGGCAAAATCTGCATATTTTGTACATAATTTTATGCTTTCAGGGTAACGGCATGATTTTATTTTTAGAGATGTGGTTTGGAGATCATAAAATGTATCATTGGTAATTTTGTTATAAAAATGTATTGTTGATAATTTTACTATAAAAATGCATTGTTGGTAAAAAATATGCGATGGAGAACTTGGAGAGGGAATTAAGCAGGAGATGACTGTTAACTGACATCAATTAGACATGGCACGTGGAACTAGAACAGTTTACCCCAATGAGTGAAATAAAGGGTTCAGTTCGATATTCCAACCACCTGAAGAAGGCCGGAGCGTACAACGGTCGAAACATTGTAAAAAATATGACGACAAAGATGAGGATAATCTTCGGAATAATGTAAATAGTGTACATAATACCTCATCTCAAAAATATAGACAGATACTGAAAGGCCGAAACGTTGTAATAAATATGGCGACAAAGATGAGGACAATAGTCCGAATAATGTAAATAGTGTACATAATACCTCATCTCAGAAATATAGACAGATACTGAAGGGCCGAAACGTTGTAATAAATATGGCAACAAAGATGAGGACAATAGCCCGAATAATGTAAATAATGTACATAATACCTCATCTCAGAAAAAATAGACAGATACTCTCTCACAGTTTTCAATTTCAACAGCTGATTTTGTTGAAGTTCACTTCAATGCATCAGTTCTCTCCATTCTCTTCCTTCAATTCCACATTCCATAATCCAAGAGTTTTAAAATGTTATTAATTTATATACATCCTTCTTGAATTCTGTATGGTGAACAGTGGTTTCAAGACTTCTGTCATCCAGCCTTTTGGCTCTAAGGTTACACCCCTAAAATTTCCTTTCCCACCCAGATGAAGACACTACTTTTTTTAATATAAAGTATACATCATACCCAAAACAATTAATCTAATACCAGACGAACATCTGTCCCTACACCGACAAACCTCTAAAATTGGCTTCTGCAGACAGTCTTCACTTCTCACTTTCGATAGAATCCAAAATCGTCTCCCCGGCCTTCTGGGTGATGAAATATTTTCCTACCCTACAACCGCTTTCCCACAGACAAAATATTGCAAGACACTTGCTGCTCTATCAATATTTTCATATTTAAGAATTCTTCTGTAGAACGGCATACAGTTGGCAAAAGCCAGGATTTCTAATGCTGACTTTTTAGGTAAGCAGCCTAGACACTCCGCTTTTGGTTGGCAGCCATATTACGATCCGTTCCTTTCTCGCCAAACTTCATTCAGCCGTGTGCCGTATTAAGCATAGAATGCTTTACCAAGCACTAAGAATATTGACAGCGCACAATACTCTTTACCTTAATTAACATCACTCCCTGTGGCCTTGTGCCTTACTTGGTTAAAATCGGTAAATATAAAGACAAAAAAAAAAGAAAGAAAGAAAAAAAGAAAGAGAGAAAGACAAAGATTTTTTTTAATCATTTCGCCTTAAGTAAGGTGATAAAGCCACTAAGATGCATGGGGGTGTTACTGAGGACAAATGACAATAGAATGAAGGAAAACTGGGGAAGCGTTACTGAGGAGAGAAAGGACAATAAAAAGAACAGGATTCATTGGGAAAGAAGATGACAATTTACATTGTATTTAAATTTTTGTATTGCGATAGAAAAAAAGAACATTGAGCACAAACAAGAAAGTAACAAAAAGACAAAAACAAAAGTAAAATCAGAGGAAGGCGGGTAAAAAAAAAATGGAAGAAAAAGTGCTAATTACTGGACGAAATGAATGAATAAGAGTAAAAGATATGAAAGAGTAGGAAAAAGAAGACAAATGAAATCGAATGAAAAAAAATAAAAAATGAACGAGTGTGGAAAAGATAAAAGTAAAGAATGAAAGAAAGATGGCAACAAACTCAGATGAAAATAAAGAATAATTTTGGGACGAATAAAAATGATTTCAATGAAAGTTGAAAGAAGTAAATAATCGTGTCGTCTGTCTGAGCAAGTAAGAGTTGTCTTTTCCTTGTTTTTTTATTTATTCGACTTTCAAGTATTCTTTCCGCCTCCTTTACTACTACTGAGAATCTTGCGTGACATGCGCACTGAGGCGAGAAGAATACACGAAGCGTGCCCGCTGACCGTCTCACCGGAAGCGAAGGAAAAAGTAGCAAAGGAAAGAAAAAAAATGGTTTTTACCCTCCGAGATTGCTTGCATATACATTAATTTTTTATTTGAATTTTCTTTTTTACTATTATTATTATTATTATTATTATTATTATTATTATTATTGTTGTTGTTGTTGTTGTTGTTGTTGAGTCATAGGTTTTCCTAAGGTTCTTACTTTGATTAAGACGTTTATTTTCTCGATTTTATTTATTTATTTATCATTTTGTTTCATATTTTCTCTTAACTTTTCATTGTTACCATTCGTGATTTCTTTTTTTTTTCTTGCCAGTCCTTTTTTTATCACCGGCTTTCTGCCATTTTTTTCACCGGCTTTCCGCCATTTTTATCACCGGTTTTTCGCCATTTTCTTACTGGTCTTTATCCATTTTCATTTTATTATATATTAAGTATTTTCATAGCCACTACGATAAATCATTTTATTTTAATTTTTATTTTCAATCATGTATTGACAAGAAACGTCGTCCTACCATTCCGTATTATTTTTCGTCTGCTTCAAAGGTAAAAGATCTTACCAGTTTTTATTCTTGAACTACTGGATTTTACAGTATATCCCATTTTTTTTATTACGTTTGATAAAAAAGCGAGCAAAATAAAAGAAACAAAAATGCGAGCAAAAATTACGAGAAGAAAATGCGAACATTCTTTTATACTAAAGTTCACTCAATATAAGGCTCGAGAGCTACTGAAGGTAGAGGGATACAATATTTAACAGAACACCCATTCCTTCAGAAGGCGGCTTAACACCGATTTTATGGGAGATCTCATTTCGGAGTAGACTGCAGTTGAATGATTTATACAAAAAGAAATTATATGTATATATATATATATATATATATATATAAGTGTGTGTGTGTGTGTGTGTGCGTGTGTGTGTGTGTGTGTGTGTATTTTATATCATGAAGAAACAATTTATACAAAGAATTAATTAGCAATGTTAATGTGATTAGTGGCGAAATCACTTCGCTAACAAGACTTAATAAGACATTAACTTACTATCTATTCCTTGAATAATAAGATCCTTATATTCGAGTTGTTGTCAGATGGAAGACACATACCAAGTACTTTCGGCAATTTCAAATTATCATCTTCAGGACACATTTTTTCTCATACACAGGCAAACGCTAAAACAAGGATCTTATTATTCAATGTATATATATATATATATATATATATATATATATATATATATATATATATGTGTGTGTGTGTGTTTTGAACAATAAAGATATTAAAAAATTAAAATTTTCAAATACACTGGGTTGTATAGTAATACTTTTTTTGTTTTATTATTTCAATTAGATTTCCCGACTATTATCTGCCAGCATGGCCATCATCAGGCGAAAAAAATTCTTGCTTGTTAGTAGCAAAGAACTACTGAAATTAATGATTTTCTGAAGAAAATGAACATTATCTTAGTTTTCATTGTTAATTTTAGTTGGTCCTTGTGTTGTTCAAACGGCCTCTTTTAAGTTGTTTTTTTAAGACGGAGGCTGGGGAGATTCATGTGACTCAGAATTCCCA